ATAGCAACTGCTGCCGCACGAGAGCAAGAGAGTATATTAGTGGCTGCTGCCACACGGAAGAAAATTGAGCTGGATGCTAAGTTAAGTACCCTACAGCTCAAAAAAGAAGCAGCTGCTGCAAGGACCCAAGCAGAGGTGCTCCAAGCAGCAGCCAATCTGGATAAGGAAGATAATTGGAGTGAGTTTGGCACTCAGATACCTGTCAAGGACCGTGATCAACTCACCAGAAAAAATATTTTGGACTGGTCTGAACAATGCATCAATGCTCCTCCACCAAACGATACTGAACAAATGGTGGACGTTCAGGCATCGCCATCTCCACACCGAATGAACATGAATGCTGTCTACGGGAATGGTGGAAATGCATATCCTGCCCTGGCAGCTAGTCGTCGACTCAGCGTCGCACATGTGGAATCAGAAATGGATGCATCACGTCAGACCCACATTCCAGACAGTCACATAAGGGGATCAAACCAACGTGATCGAAACCTTTTGGGCCCACAATCCAACACCATCGCGAATGACGGCATGCAAGGCAATGCAGCCAATAATGGCACCTCACAAGCGCCAGTATGGACACACCCTAGATCAGCAGGATTAGGGGACTTTGCTAGGTACCTGGCTCGCCACGAACTAATCAACACAGGACTCGTTAAGTTTGATGACCACTCTGAGAACTATCGAGCCTGGAGATCTACCTTCAGGAACGCAATCCGAAATGATGTATAATTTTATACCTACGTGACTTTATCGAAAGAACCAAAGAGTATGGATTCCTGCAGTCACGAAAGCTTCAAATCTAGCCTGTTTATGTAATCTAGTATATGAATAAAATGTTCACCATCATCGTTTTCCTATTTCTGGGACAATTGTGCCCTAAATAATAGGAGTTGCATTTCATTCAGGTCAGGCCCTGGCTGCTGACGTAGTTGTCTCCAGTCTGATGGCACAGTCATGTGAGAGAGCAGAGGCAATTGAGTGTGTGGAGGGGAGTACAGTGAGATGAGGGAAGAGACAGGTACATGTGGCCGAGAGTGAGATAAGGGAGAGACAATTGAGTTTGTGGAGGGGAGTAGTGTTCGAAGAGACGAGAGAGAAGCAGGATAGTGTGTGGAGGGTTTTAGAGTGAGGAGAGAGACAAGTGTGTTTGTTGAGGGGAGTAGAGTGGGAAGAGAGGGGAGAGGTAGGTAAGTGTTGCCTTGAGTGTGATGAGAGGGGAGAGACAGGTGAGTGTGTGTGGAGGGGAGTACAGTGGAATGAGAGGGGAGAGGCAGTTGAGCCACTCAATCAGCCACTCACTCAACCACTCGCACACTCAACCACGCACTTATCCACTCACTCACACACTCATCCACTCACTCAACCTCTCCAAAAACCACTCACTCAGCCACTCATCTCAGCTACTTACTCAGTCACTCACTCAACCACTCACCCCCACCCTCCCGCCCGTTGCGACAGCTCCCCCCTCCCCCTCCTCTGATTAGCCGACGCTCACCCCTCTCTGCCGTTACATTTACTTACAAATTTCATCCCTATTCCCGCCCACTTACCCTTGGGTTGTCAGACATGACTTCAACCGAGAAGATGGATGCAAAATTTAGCGATCTTTGGAAGGATGTTGATCAACCAGGTGTGGTGTTGACTGTTGTGTTTGCCGACTCTTTGAGTTGCATTACATTTCTAAGTTTGCTAAGTTTGATATATTTTTATTTTTTCTCTAGCAATTTTTCCCTCTGTAAATTTCACCTCCACCCTTTGTTTCACCCGTTGCGACAGCTCCCCCCTACCCCTCTTCTGATTAGCCAACACTCACTAGTTGCACATTCCATCCCTAGCATCGCCCACTTACTCTACGTATATAACCCTTGGTTGCAGTCGCTCTCTCGCTACATTTCATCCTCATAAGTCCGCCTGCTGTTTATAATTTTTCACCTGAGGATGATGGCTTGTGTTGCTATTGAAACGTCGTGATTTATTAGTTATTTTTCTATCTACGTGACTACCAAAAGAACCAGAGTATTAGGATCTTCTTTGGAGCCATTTTCATGCATTGCACGAAGAAAATAATATTTCTACTGGAGTGGAAATGTACCTTGGGTGAATGAGAAGTTAAAAATGTGTGAGAGGTTTATAGATGAGATCTGCCACAGACACAAGTGCAAACGAATGTAACTCGTCTTCCCCCGTGGATGACCATGTCTTCATTGATGCGAGCTGATGCAGTACATCCAGTTGGGATATGGGACTAAACGAGAAATAGGGCCGAACCCAGTGCCGTACCCGATACACTAATCCTTGACCTTAGCCACTTGATGAGTATCTCATGGTTGATGGTATCGAAGGCGGCTGAGAGATCGAGGCAAATCAACACTGGTGCACCGGTCATCCATGATCTTGTAGAGGTCATTGGTGATCTTGTAGAGGTCATTGGTGATCTTTAGTCGAGCAGTCTGAGTGCTGTGGAACTTCCGGTATGCCGACTGCAATGGGTTGAATCTGCCCGTCGAAGTGACATGGGCCAGTAATTGCTTCAGACAAAGGTACTCTTAGACTTTTTAAATCGTAGTCGGGTTTGAGATTGGGAGATATTTTGCATTCATGATCCTGAATCGTAACAATTCAGTGGTGAATCGTTCCACCCCACAGCAGGAATCGTGTACATGTGTGTACGTGTATGCACAGCTGTGCTCATTGTCTTCTGTATTGGTTACGTACATTCCTTATTTATGTAGTGGAATATCACTCTGAGGTGATTGCTTTGTGTAGATAGGAATTATGTTAAGTAGAGAAGATGAATCTAAATCAGTTCCTCCACCGAATCGCGGGAAGCCAGCAGCCAGGCGGTGAACCGGCACTACCAACAATCCCCCAAGCTCTGCGCTTCGCTATACAGTAAGACCTTGGATTGCGAGTAACTTGGTCTGCGAGTGTTTTGCAAGACGAGCAAAAATTGTAATTAAATATTAATTTGATAAACGAGCGAGGTCTTGCAATACGAGTAGTGTACGTATACGCTTTGTCTGGCGAGCGTCACGTGATCACAACTGATATACGAGTGCTTTGGATTACAAACACGTTTCCGGAACGAATTGTTTACAATCCAAGGTTTTACTGTATGTGTTTATATATTTATATATTTGTAGCCACTTAATGAGTTGCTGCAAATGTCCCGCATATGTGAGCAGGGGGCAACATTCTGTCCGACGCAAATGGAACAGGTATATTCCACAGTTTTGTTGTACTGCCTTCTTCTGGCAAGCCAGGGTATGGCTCATCCTTGATGCCCACCAGAAGGGAGATTGCACACTTGCTATTTGATTCCCTGAAATTATTTGTTTCATCGGATCGGCTCGCTTAACACCATCATGCGGTCCAGTGCATGCAGAGTCACACGTTTTCTACAACTTATGTTTGTTAAACTTATTTTGCAGCGTACATAGTCAACCGTGCTAACCCGGGGTACATTCAAACCTCGCCACAAAAGCCCTGTTGCTCGTGAGCACAGCAACTCAAATCAATCAGGTGCAAGGTTTGCGTGATTAATGCTAACAAATCGGGGTCCATAATGAAGAATAATGCAGAAGGTCGAGTTCTGTCCATTTAAATCCAAGCGTGTTTCTTACCAACCAGATTACAGGCGGTGCATTCGACACCATTTGGAATGCGCTGTTGCAATGTGTGGTTCATTTGAAACCATTATCAACACTGAGAAACCCACACAGTGATTTCCTGGATTTAAACGATGCAATGTTTGTTATCCAAACCACTATTGGCTCCCATAACACGTTTTTTGCACACAGCATCCAATAGCGGTCACTGTTGGACCAGAACCAGAAACAAATATTGCCATCTGCACATGAAGGCAACATTCAATCATACATGTTTCACAGTTCGGAAAAACATGTACGACATTAAGGAGAGATTTGCCAGCATATTATACTTAATCACCGTACGCGATGATGACAAATGTTGCATTTCTCAATCGTCAATAACTGTAAACGGTTGCACCAAGCTCAAAGGAACCCAATCTGGATGTGTCATGACGTTTATTGTATGCACAGGCATTGTCGGAAACTGTTGCCATACTTCACACAAGACAGCACACATTCAGTTGTCTTTTTAAAACCTGCACCATCTGAAGAGCCAAAGCAGAATGGTGCTCTTCAGGAGCAATATTTAAAGCAAGTCGGTTGTTACTGCCGTTAACACTGAGCCAAAGTCCTTGTGGCCTGGCTTCTGGGTGAGTTTGCAGTCTCCAGCCAGCAGAGAATCAGCAGCCACAGATTTTCCAACAAATCCTTGTCTCGGTTTGATTCACCGAACAATATCTACTGACCACACCACAAGTAAAACAATAATGTAACTCTGAACAAAAATATGAATAAATTAGGACGGTTTATTAAATGCATTGTATCCATGGAAATATGTACAGCAATAGACAAAACATATACAGCAATAGAATAAAAATATGTACACCAATAGACTAAAAATGTGTATTACGGGGGGAGGGTGGGTGGTGTGGTGATAGCAGTCGTGGTTTACACCGATGCACGACCACGACCACTACCATCCCTCCTGTGGGGTGGACCGGCCACCGCACAGTAGCACGCGGTGGAGGAGTGAGCGTATTGCTCTCCCCACACGAGCCATGCACCCTCGCTTCTTATTCATTTCCTTCATCTCCTTTTCCTTCTTCAAATTCTCAAACACCTACACCATCATCTCCTCCACCACCATATTTCCCCCCTTATCCATCTCCTCGTCCTCCCCTTCCTCTAGCTCCTCCTCTGGCTCCTCCGTCTCCTCCTCCTCCGTCTCCTCCTCCTCCGTATCCTCTTCCTCCTCCACATCCGTCTTTTCATCTCCCATCTTCACCTTCACCTCATTCTCTAACTTCTCAACCTCCTGCACCATCATCTCCTCCACCACCATCTTCTCTTCCTGCACCATATTTCCCCCCTTATCCATCTCCTCGTCCATCTCCTCGTCCGTCTCCTCCTCTGTCTCTTCCTCCGTCTCCTCCTCCGTATCCTCCATCTCTTCATCTGTCTCCTCATCCTGCTCCTCCGTATTCTCTTCCTCCTCCACCTCCATCTTTTCCTCGTCCATCTTCACCTTCACCTCATTCTCTTCTAACTTTTCAACCTTCTGCACCATCATCTCCTCCACCACCATCTTCTCTTCCTGCACCATATTTCCCCCCTTGTCCATCTCCTCGTCTGTCTCCTCATCCGTCTGCTCCTCCGTCTCCTACTCTGTATCCTCCGTCTCCTCATCTGTCTGTTCATCTGTCTCTTCATCTGTCTCCTCATCCTGCTCCTCTGTATTCTCTTCCTCCTCCACCTCCGTCTTTTGCTCTCCCTCATTTTCCACCACAACCTCTGTTTCCTCTTCAGAGGCCTGGGCAAGTGAGGAGGTGGGCTGCACCGGTTTCACTCTGGGGAGACACACGCACGACACGACTCCTTTTTGCTATGGCAGAGTCACCTCCCCATCTCCCGTTGTTGTGGCAGATTAAACCAAGCTTAATAACAATGAAAAAATTGAGTACGCTTGATGTCAGAGCTGTCATTCTGATGGGAAAAGATTATCATGAAGGAATGTGCCACTGTGTCTCATCCAGTCTGCTGTAGTGTCACAGTAACAGGCAGCGTTGCTTTGTAAATCCAACAAAGTAATTTGTCATGATATCTTTTTTTTTTATGATATATTCTAATTGGGGCAAATATGACCCCTGGCACACAATGGCCTACTCGTTTTGAACGACATTAGGGGAGATCTTCAACATCCACTGCAAAGGACAGGGTGCATCATGTCTTGACGTCCCGCCATGGCAGTAATAACCATGGCGGGACGTCAAGAGTGCTGCCGCTGGGCCGCATCACCCACGCACGATTGTTGTAAAAATATCTGATGGTGATTCGTGTTAGATAAAGCTGCCCATCTTGACTTCGATGGCATCTTAGAGTGCTTTACAACGCAATGAGGCACTTACATATCACATCTTGCACCTCAACGTATTTTCTGGTGAATGAAGGGTTAGATGGTGAAGATATGCCCGCATGGTTATGTGGGCTCACCCAGAAACCAATTATGGAAGAGAAATCGGTCTACAGCTGAATGTACACGAGGGATAGGCTGGAATACACTTGTGTTCTCCCCCCGTTCTGCATGGGTTTCCTCTGGGTTCAGCAGGTTCTTCCCCGAAACTGAACCCACAAATACAATACAACTGGTCTTGGATCAAAATCGACCTCTAAAGCGCTCAATTGGGATCACACACAGCAACTTTGTTCCCTACTGCGAACAAAACTTGGCAGGGCCCTCTTGAATATTTTATCTTGAGACTCAATGATGTTCATCCTGGGTGAGCAAACGTAGTAATAATGATACAAAATAATAAACACTTACACAGGACACATGCAGAGTTGCTTACCGTGGCTCAGCGGCTCCAGACTTTGCATCGTATTCTCCGGAGCCCTCTTCTCTGGATCTCAGCACGATCAGGCCCTGCACACTGCTAACATCGGTGGTGGTAGCGGTGGTAATGTTCGTGCTGGTGGTGGCAGTGGCTGTCCCTTGATCATCGACCTCAGCCATGTTCTGAAGCCAGCTGTGTGCGAGCGCCTGAGTGGGAGTCATCCGAAGATTTGGATCCCATCTGTTGAGAGACACGCGGGGCACACGTGGTGAGAGGCACGTTTCAAGGATTTACATTCCTTCCCTTCTTCCACGAGGTCCAGGAATTCTCACCAGCAGCGGGGAGTACTCCACTGCCCAGTAGCCTAAAAATGCACCTAGCCTGCCACTGCCCAGTAGCATCTTTCATGGGCCTCCACCACAGACACCGATCTTAACACTGCTGGTACAGGTCATCGGCAGGTTCACTGAGCTTCACATCCTCCTGTACCACATCAGCTCCACCTCTTCTGTGACACGGCTCAGCGCTGACGACGTGGCCCAGACGTACTACATTCTCCACATGTTGGACTTTCGGATCCAACGAAGAGGAAGAAGAAAATGGGGGTCTATGGGTGTCTCTGTAACGATCACTTGAAGGAGAGTGACTGATATTAGAATCCTTGTGGGGAGGCGTGGGAGAGGGGGATGGGCAGGCGGGAGGTTGTCTTACTGTATCTACTGTAGGCAACAATGGACACAGTCCACCAACTCTGGCCCAGGAGGTGATGAGTAAGAATGAGACGGTGGAGCTGGTGATCGATGGAGAGTGATCACCAATCATTTGGAGGAGATTGAGTGATGGAGAATCCTTGTGGGGGGCAGCAGGGGGAATATGGAAGAGGGAGAGGGGGTAGTTCTTACTGGAGGCAGAGGCTGATAAAGTCCACAAACTCCGTGTCCTGGCTCTTGAGCACAGAGCGTAGTGGGAAGCTCCCCGGCAGGCTGTATGGTTTCTTCCAACCACCTGCAGGAGCCATGCACAGCGGAAGAGAGAGATATACATAGTTACAAACCACATCACCCACCTACCCACCCACTCACCCACCTACCCACCCACTCACCCACCTACCCATCCCCTCCACGGCCTACTCAAAAACAACAACTGCCATTCGCCACTAAGTGGCAGTGACATCATCATGGCGCTTGTACCAGGCTATGTGCACTTTAAGGCCACCTGAAGTGTCAAAAGCCCGCTGGCAGAAGGTCATGGGACAGACTGAATGAGATGACTGGCCGTGGTAATTCAATTTAAGGTGGAGGGGTTACCAGCCCCTCGCACCCATTGGCCTCAGTGGTGGCTATGAGCCCCATCATGGGAATAGCATATTGAAATTGACCTTCCCTCCGTTGGCATTGCTTACCACAGCGTTACCGACCGGTACCACCTTTGAGGTGTGGTGTTGTTTTGTTGGACTCATTCACCTACTCACCCACCTACCCACCCACTTATCCCCGCCACCCCCTTGCCCCCCACCCATGCACACGCCTACCCATCCGCCTACCCATCCACCTACCCATCTACCTACCAACCCTCCTACTCAGAAAAAAAATCACTGCAAATCACTCCGTTGGAATTACGCAATATCAGCCCAAAGCCACCCCTTTTAACTTACCAAAGTATATCAATCCGTAAGGAGCGGCATGTATGAAGTTTCTTGGGGGCAAACCCAGCCTCTGCACACGGTTCAGACAAAGACAGAGGTCAATCATAAAGCCTCAGTAGACTGTTGGGGCAAGTGCTGAGAGCAAGTAGCAGCATGTATTGAGGCTGGAACTGTGGCACACGAGGGCATGGTTGATCACATTGCCCCAGGTGCTTCACACACCAAACTAGGTACTTATTTGAAGCTGATTTGATCTAGGAGAGGCCTAGGGACCAGTTCAGATGTTTGAACCTTATGGCAGTACCCCGGGGTACCATAGTACCCCGGGGTACTATGGTCTGGTGATGGTGTGGTGATGGTCGGCGATGCGGCAATTGACTCATCTCAGCAAGCTGTACACGATGCACTATTAAAAGTTGCATTTTTCGATAATGGATATTTTTATGCCAATGTTTGGCGTTTCAACATCGCGGAGTAGCACTTATTTCGGATTCATTGGTACCCCAGTCGCAGAGTTAAGTACACCCCTGCAAAAAAGTGTCCCAGAAATAAAATATTTAATTGCCTCGGCCATTTTGTATTATTTGGTACCCTCCGGTGCTGGTGGTGGCAGTGGCCATGAGTCGGAATCAAACTCAGGTCTCTGCCGGGTTCGTAGCACAGCGCGGTGTGCTAACCACTGCACCACACATTCTATACACATAGGCAAAGACAAATATCCCCCATATAGCCTTAACATACTTTTGGTCACACACATAGACAAGACAAACAGACAAACACGTGTACACACATGTACAAGACAAAAATCCCCCGTATAACCTAAACAGACTTGGGGCAAGTGATGTTAGTGAGTAGCACCTCTGAAGGCTGACACGCCACACGAGGGGGTGGGTGGCCAACACCACGCCCGGCCACCTTTGTCTCCCTAGTGGTGATGTTAACACAATGCACCAGGTACTCATTGGAGGCTGAGTCGACCTAGGGGAGGCCCAGGACCGGTTCAGATAATCGTCACTGGTGTTGGCTGTGAGCCGGAATCGAACTAGGGTCTCCAGGTTCGTAGCACACCGTGTTAACCGCTACACTACCGTGTACACACATGTACACACACACACGTCTAAACACGCACACAGCACACAACAGCTATCATTCGCCAAATCACCATATGGCCCCCCCTAACCCACGAGCGGACATTATGTGCGAAATACCTCCATGCAGGCCAGAAGAAAATCGTATTCGTTGTTGGGCTGGAATAATTTCTTTCCAGTGGCCATCTATGTTACCATGCAGCCCAGTGACCAAATGTCGGCAGTGCAGGTTAAATCATAGCCCAGCAACATCTCCGGAGCTATGTATGGCAGGGCATCACCGTGTCTGGCTGCACAATCACAAAAAATACATGTACTGTGCTCACTTAGCCTTTAACAGCATCGTCATCACACATGCAGTCACATAGATACTCACACATGCAGTCACATAGATACTCACACAGACACTCACACACAGATGCTCACACACAGACACTCACACACAGATGCTCACACACAGATACCCACACACAGACACTCACACAACGACAGACATAGACCCCCATACACAACAGACACACGCAGACAGGGATAATGTCAAGAAGTGCACGCTCCGATCACCTGTTTGTCAAAAAGTGCACACTGTAAAAAAGTGCACGCAAGCGCGTGCACTTCTTGACATTATCCCTGCGCTTGATCGTTCGACGAGTCGGACTTATACGCGTGTGTGGTGCATGTGTGTGTGGTGCGTGTGTGGTGCTTGTGTGTGTGTGGTGTGTGGTGCATGTGTGTGTGTGGTGCATGTGTGTGTTGTGCGTGTGTGTGGTGCATGTGTGTGTGGTGCGTGTGTGGTGCTTGTGTGTGTGTGGTGTGTGGTGCATGTGTGTGTGGTGCATGTGTGTGTGGTGCGTGTGTGTGTGGTGCGTGTGTGGTACATGTGTGTGTGTGGTGCATGTGTGTGTTGTGCGTGTGTGTTGTGCATGTGTGTGTTGTGCGTGTGTGTGGTGCATATGCGCGTGGTGCGTGTGAGGTGCGTGTGTGTGGTGTGTGTGTGTGGTGCATGTGTGTGTGTGGTGCATGTGTGTGTGTCTGGGTTGTAGTAGACAGGACGTGGGAGATGTTTTCCCAAGAAAACCGTGAAAACAAACGTCGACTCGCCCGCTCGCTCGGAGGCCGCATGTGGGAGGAGAGCCTTTCTCATTTCTGGGAAGAGAATTTCTGCTTTTTAATCACAATAACAACAACAACCGCCATTCGCCACTAAGTGGCGGTGACGTCACCACGACGCTTGTGCCAGGCCATGTGCACCCTGAGGCCACGTGAAGTGTCGAATGCCCGCTGGCAGGAGGTCACGGGCAGACCCAGGTGCCACGGGTCGACTGACTGAGATGACTGGCTGATGCACCACCTGTGCCCCCTACTGTGCCAACCTGCTTAGCTTTAGCCACCCGGCGCTCCGCTCGTTGTTGTGAGCGTCGCTCCTCCCCCCTCCGTTGTTGTTGGAGGGCGACTACCTCCAACTGCCCAGTAGCATCCTTCACGAGCCTCCTCCATAGAGGCCGATCTTGACACCGCTGGTACCAGTCATCGGCAAGTCCACTCAGCTCCACGTCCTCCTGTACCACATCACTCCATCTCTTCTCTAGCCCGTGCCGCGCCCGCTTTGCCCCCTCAATCCGGCCGAACAAAAGCTGTGTCGGCATGCGGTGGCTGGGCATGCGGGCAACATGACCCAGCCATCGCAGCCTTTCCCGCCGGAGGAGCTCACCGATGGGACCTTGCCCAGATCTTTCAAGGATTTGTGAGCTCCTCACACAATCCAGTCTGGTTAAACCCAGGATGGATCGTAGGCAGGCCAGCCTAAATGTTTCTAACCGGCAAAGATGTTCCATTAGGGGGGGTCCACGTTTCGCAAGCGTAGAGAAGGGAGGGAATGACCGTGGCCGAGAAGACCTGAAGCTTAGTGCGGAGCGACAAACCAGGTAGCTTCCACACAGCGTTACGCAACCGATGAAAATATATTGCCGCTCGACTGATTCGGAGTGAGACCTCTGCTGTTAAACTTGAGCCAGTCATAAGCACACTGCCCAGGTATGGGAAACTCTCCACTCTCTCCACAACTGCCCCATCACCGATCGGGAGTTGTGGGGGTGGAGTGTCCGATGGTACAAAATACCCAGGCAGGTGCTTAGTTTTGGTGGGGCTGATGGTAAGGCCCCACCTCTTAGTGGCACGCTCCAGTCTCAGCAGCAGCGTCTCCAACTCCTCCTCTGACTGAGCAGCTATTACCAAATCATCAGCATACATAACGTGGTTGAGCAATAGGGAGCCATCCCTTGACCGCACCCGGGCACCGATCAGCCTCCCATTATATCTGTACCATATGGAGATTTCCCCAGTACAGCTATTGAAGGCTTCACGAACTACGTGGTCAAAATAGATGTTAAATAATGTGGGAGCCAGAGGACATCCCTGTCGCACCCCAAGGTGTACAGGGAATGGCTCTGACTCCCGGCCACGTAGTTTTACCCGGGCCCGCTCACCATCATGAAGGTCCTTAATGATCGTGAGCATAGGGTCAGGTACTCCAAAAGCACGAAGAACGACCCAGAGCCCAGGCCTACTGATGGTATCATAGGCCTTGACCAGGTCAATAAAGCAGAGATGTAGGTCTTGTTGGAATTCCCTACGCCTCTGCTGTAGCAGACGGACAGAAAATATGGCATCTGTGCATGACCGCCCTATCCTGAAACCGCATTGGGGCTCCGAAAGCCTCTCCTCAGCGTGCCTGGCAAGGCGATGCTGAATAATCCTTGCCAGGACCTTTCCCGGCACACTGAGGAGTGAGATGCCCCTGTAGTTGTTACAGTCTGTGCGGTCCCCCTTCTTAAAAAGGGGGACCACCAGGGCATCCTTCCAATCCTGCGGAACCCGTCCAGTGGTCCAGACTGTTGTTATGATGTCATATAGGGCAGTCTGTGCACAAACGCCGCCCTCCCTCAGTATTTCGCTTGGGAGATCATCTCTGCCCGCTGCCTTTCCTGGTCTCAGACTCCGGATCGCCTTCAGTACTTCCTCAACAGATGGCACCTCAGCCAGCCACTCACGGGGGGTGACTTCTTCCAATATTTGAGGCACCGCAGCCTCAGCAGAGTCATCCTCACTTTGTGCCACGATGTTTTCCTGGCTGATGGATTTTCCCTCCCCCAGGACCTCACAGAAATGCTCAGCAAATCTGCAAACCTGTTCCTGGGGGTCAGAGATTGGATCACCGTTTTTTCCCCTAATGATGGTAATAGGTGTGGCGCTGCAGGTTACTTTTTGATGGAGTTAAATAGAGATTTGTGATCACGGGCCACTGAGGCAGACTCCATCTCCTCAGCAACCCGCGACCACCACCCATCCTTGCAGTGC